CCACTCCCCATTTTGGGTAGCCAATGTCCAAGTTGCCCATCCCTGTCTACTCTGTGTGTGGAGGGGGTGGGAATGATTCTTGCTGTAAGGATTTGTTCCCTTTTTTTTTTTTTTTCCTCTGCTTTTTACTTCTGGTTGTGGGTATTATCTGCACGTGTGGGTGTTCTTATGCATATGCCCTCTCTCCTTATCAGCTGGACGCTTCACTCTCCACTCTAGTCCTCTGTGGCTATGTCACTGACTCTGGGGACCTGGCTCTTTTTAAACCTCCAGAAAGCTCTGGTAATTCTTTCTGGCTGAGCCAGGTTTAAGGTAACTGGGGCACTTTGGGTTTTCTGGGCTGTTGCTTGGGGTTCTGGGGAGTTTTCCGGGCAGATTTACTAGGAGTGGCAAAGAACTTGGGTCTGGTCTTTTTGGGTGTCTGTCTCAGGTCTTTCTTTCTCAGAGCAGAGGCTGCTTCGTTTGCTATCTCTTCTCGGATTCCCTGGCTCTGCTGGGCTTATAGTTGGGGAGCCTGGCTCTGTGGCTTTAAGGGTTTCCAGAGTGGAGGTGTCCTTTCTCTTCTTCCTAAGAAGCGTGTTGGGACCAGGATTCTTTTGGAGACTTTACTATGTCACCCTTTGGCATCTCTACGGTTTTTCTTCTTAGCAAGTGTTTTCTTCTTAGGCACCAGTAGTGGAATATCAGCCTTGGAGTCATCACCCACTTTCAGCTGGGTTTTCACTCTGTGCCTCTTTTTCTTCTCTTCGGGGATCTCCCCCTCTGGGCTCCAGCACTCTTGATTTCCGATGGATCCTTTTCTTGAGTTCGAGCTGATTTAGCCTTTGCAGCCTGTTACTTTTCTCTTTTTCTCCTTTTCTTCGCTTTCTTTTTCTGGAGCTTTACTTTCTTTTTTTTCTTTTAATCTTTTTTCTTCTGGCCATGAATGAGTACTTGTTTCCCATCCAAAGAGCTGATATATGAAGAGAAGACAGGAAGGGCAACCTATTTCTCAGTTTTCAGGTATAAGAGCTTCACACTCTCCCACTTCTCTGGCAGTTTTTTGAAAGTCCTTTTGTGACTGCAGCGATGTTTTCCACAATGTGCTGCATCGTCATTCCAGTGTGACCAACGCATACGGTGCTGCACGAACCAATTTTAGAGATGTTAAGGATTCTTCCACCAACACAGCTGTTAATCTCTTAACAGGTCCTTGGCGAGGAGGTTCACACATGCGGGCACTTTCTTACTGAGATAGAAATGTTTCCCGATAATTGAAGGCAGAAGCTTCCTAATTCTTGCATCAGTCAGGAAGAAGTCAAAACTGCCCAAGAGGTGGAGCTTGGCTTCATAGGGTTTATATTTCTGTTTCAAAGTTCGGAGGGGGGTAATCTGAGGAATGGTTTTAATTTTATAGTTGTTCAGAAGATTCCTATAGAACTGTTAAGTCTGATCTAATAGCACGAGGCAAAGACAGTCTGACTCACAGTTCTTTCTTTGGGATTTTCCACACCACCACCATTAAAAAAGATTTTTTCATTCTCGTTCAAAAGCACTGCATTCGCATTTTTTCTGGACTCTGAATGTGCTAACAGAGCTTTTACTGCCTTTTTAACCTGTATTTTGTTCAGCTCCAGCCACGGCTCCTTTGTGGCCAGGGTCACTGGAGTTGCAGCTGAGGTTGGGGCTGAAGTCGAGGCCTCCATACCGCCTCATGTAGAGGTCTTTTTATTATTTTATGCTATAGTTTTATGCACGTCTTTGATTATGTCTTTAAGATAAATTCTTAGAAATAAAATTGATTGTTCAAAAGGTATGTACATTTTTAAGGCTTTGATTATATTGTCAGATTTGTCTCTAAAAGTCAGTTCGTTTTTACTCTGCAGTATGAGAGAAGACAGATTACTCTATCCTCCCTCTTCAGTTCTGAACCCACAGATGTAATGAAAATTAGCTCTTCGCTGCTGTTCTTGTGTTCTCTCTCTTTTATCATTAGCTCCCACTACTTGGTGAGCTCTTAGATTATTTTGGATTGTTATCTTTGCCACTTGCTACCCCAAAATATAATAGGTGTGTTACTTTTTTTTTAATAACTTGCCCTTTGCAACTGCCTTTTGTTATTCACGCCACCTGAACCCCAACAGTTACCATGACTAATCTCCCTTGTGTATCTTCTTACCTACCCACTCCGATATACAGGTGATTTTGGGAGTTGGTCAGCTCTTTCAAGCTCAGCAAGACTTAATGCATCGAATAGCTCCCCTCCTCTTGTCTTACCACCTTATTAAGTGGGGGAGTCAGTGCTTGGCAACAGACGTTCCAGTTGACACACTGTGAGTTGTATTATTTAAACTATTTGACAAATTGTGAGTTTAATTATTTTGTCATGATCTTAGGAGCATAATTTTTCAAAAAAAACAAAAAGCAAATATTATGTTGTAACATGATTTCCCCTTAAGATGCTCCATTTTCTAGAGATTGAAGACAACTTGAAAGAATGAATAAACCCCCTAAGATTGATGCTTTAGTAAAAAACCATCTGGATGAGACCCAGAGGTCAACATTTCCTCTGAAGCAAAGATGAGAAGATAAGTGGGTAGTAAAACTAGAATGCTGGAAAATGCAATGTTATTTAAATTAGTAAAACAGCTGTATTAAAAAATAGAGAAAGCAAGATAATCGTTGATTTTAAATGTACAACTAGCTCATTTTGAAGGTAAAATAACAAAAAATTATAGAGCCACAGATAACGCTATATCATCCAAAAATGCATTGTATTGAAGCTAGGCTGAGACTCACTTTGTAAACTTTGGAAGAAAGACTGTCCTAACAGCAATCACATTGTCAGTAAGATAAACCATCCTTATTTGCTCTGACAGGGTTAAGTTTTTCCTGGCTTGGAAAGCTGAGTGAGATGTTGGCTTTGACTCCTCATTGTGGCCCCCACTCAGTGGTGCAGTGGGCAGAAATCTAAACCATGACATGCTTTGCAATTCCCTGTGCTCTCAGTGGACCTTTGCTGTACAGTGTATTAATTGGACATATTCACAGTAGGATAACTTGTTGAGGTGTGATGTTTGGCACGAGAGAGACAATGTGTTACGCTGCCTTTTTCCTTTCCCCATAGGGAGGCGAACCTCCAACACTTATCAGTACTGGAACTGACCGACTCTAGTGCTTTAATGGCAAGTAGATGTGGTAAGTACTGGACTGTGTGTGCATTTGGTTTCAATTTGGATCTGTTGCATATTCATCAGGATGGTTGTGTTGCCACTTTTGCTGTGGAAAGATTGGCTGAGCTGTGTGCTTTCACTTGGGAGTACGTAAGCAGCCTGTGGCCTGAGTCCTCTGGTTTTACCAAGGAGTCCAGGAAGCTTTAGGCCCAGATCAGGTATAAGTTAAGGCTGCTACACGTGTATATGCAGGAGTGCAGTGGCTCCATTCAATAAACACCGGACTGCAAATCACAGGTCTGCTGTCTCAGCCGGCCAGCTGCTGTCTAGGAGAAAGATGAGGCTTTCTGATCCCATCAAAGTTTAAAGCCTTAGAAACCCCATACAGGGTCGCTATGAGTCAGAGCCGACTCCTCGATTGCACTTAACAAGTATATGCACATTAATGCAACTGCTTTTCCAGTGTATATTGTTATACTATTAAATTTTTTTTTTTTAATTTTACTGAGTACATAGTAGCTATTGTGACTTTTCCTTTTCTTCTTGTTAAATTCAAATCCATAGCAACCCCGTATAGAGTTTTCAAGGAGGAGCTAATGGGTTTTGAATTTCCAACCTTGTGAATTGCTCACAGTCCAGTGCTGATCCTCCAGCCCCACACAAGGAACCCTTAGCTTAGTCAACCAATATTTAATAGGAGTCTGCCTACTCGAAGACATTGTCAGCCATTATTCCAAAAGATTTCTTTTGTATTATTTTGATATGAAACCTGATACCTTATTTTATTTATTATAAAACAGGTCTTTGAACCAGTTCTTTCATGGTCAGTACAGCAAAATTGAAACAGACTTGAGTTTTAAAATGAAGGACAATAACCAGAATGTGAAAAATTACAGGTCAAAGCCCTGGGATGAAAGGTGCAGAAGAGGTGTAGTAAACCCTTGCAGGAGCCTCATGAGGGAATTGGATTAAAGCAATATAGTCAGCTGCCATCTTTGAGCTGGACATAATTGTTTCCAACTCTGCAGATCAAGAAATTTAGTTGCTATGCAATGTGAATTGTGCATTTGTTTTTCTAAGAGTGAGATTACGTTTATAGTAGGGTGTCAACCCGTAATTTTCTTTTTCCTACTCCTGGTATTCCTGTTCATCCACATTTTGCATATTTTTGTCCATTCTAGTTTTGCTTTATCTGCATGTCCCAATCAGGAAGAACCTGTTGGAAGCTTAATACCAAGGGCACTTAGGTGTTGTGAGATCAGAGGAAAGAAATGACTGCAGTGTTGATTTAAGTGGCTTATTGATTGCATTTGTATAATAATTTAGTTCACAGAGTGCTTTATCTTATCTTTGATTATATCCATGGTGTATTTTATAATTTGAAATAATTAAATGTCTTTGTTGTAGATACAATTAATTGTTATTATCTGCACTGAAAATGGATGTTACTATGACAGGCTTGTAATTGTTCTTTTTCTTCTGAAGTATCTAGCCCTCAGACAATTGTGGAGTTATTCTTCCAAGAAGCTGCAAGAAAACACATTATAGCTCATCTCTTCTCTCAACCAAAGGCACCTCTGAGCCAAACTGGGATGAATTGGCCTGAGATGGTTACTGCAGTTACCAATTATTTCTTGCAGCTTTTGTATCCTTTTACTTTAAAGTCGGTTGAAAGTTTTCTTCTATCTAAATAGCCTCAGGCTCTTAGTCTGTCTGCGTAATGAAAGCTTTTAATGAGTTTGGGCCCTTACCACCTCTAACAAGAGGTGATAACCTTTCATTTCAGGTGTTTCCTTTTTTTTTTTTGCTCAGGAATTGAGCCAGATTTTATTGGTTCACAACATTCAGTACATCTAGATCCCTTTTGTAAACTATTATTCATTCAGTCAGCAAATAGTTGTTGACTATTTGAATTGCTCTATATGCCAGACACAATGTTAGGAGATGGGGATCTGTACACTGCCATCTGCAATATACCAAGTAGAAATGGGGATAGCCAACAGGAATATATGTGTTAGCCCAGACATAGTACACAGTGTTCCAAGCTAGGTGACTTGGCTCCTAGAATGTACCTTCTCTACAGGTTATGAATAAGAAAGATCCTTTCATAAGTGTGTCTTTAAGTCAGATTTGTAGGTCAGTCAGAACTAGTGCATACAGTTCTTATTTAGCCTTGTTTTAGTACAAGAAGAGGTTGGTAGCCTTGCCAATGATTTAAAACCTGTATGTGCAACAAGTGAAGGTGAGCATGATGAAGAATTTGTTGTGAGCAAGCGTTTTCAAAGTGAGGACAAGTTTACACAGTGTTAAAGGGCAAGTAGCATGTTCATGAGTAGAAGGTTCTTAAGCTGGGTGTTAGTACTTGGGTACTGCCCATATTTGTCATGTCCATGTTACATGGTGGCATGGAAAGAACACGTTCTGTTATTGCTTTACCTTTCTCTCTTTTTAAAACTTTTTTAAAGCTATCTGATACATCTCCTTATCTGTTGACTAGATGGCCTAGCAATCCTGGTTGTCTCTTTCTAGAATGTTTAATGGGAAATTGTCAGTATGTACAATTGCAGGTGAGTCTGTTGAATATTTCAGATTCCTGTGAAAAATATAATTTCTGGATGTTTTAATTTGTAATGTTCACTGAATTCTAATCAGACTAGTAACAGCCTGTTAGTGAGGAGCCACAGTGATTTAAATTGCTTGTGCCAACACTCCCAAGAGATTTTCTGTTTGTTTTTTTTAAGTTTTTATTGTGAATTGAGAGAAAGTTTACAGGGTAGATCCTCAGTTCTACATTCAAAAAATCATACACTTTGTTTTATTACAATGGTTATAATTCACACGATGTACCATCAGTTAACAGTATTTCTCTATATTCATTTTAGCTCTTTTTTCTGTTTTTAAAAATTCAGGCATATGTAATAATTTAAACCACCAAAGGGCACATTCTGCAAACCTGCCTCCTGGCCACCAGCTCTCAGTCCCTTTCTTCCCACGAATCTAGAGTCCTCAGCTGCTTCCTCTCTCCATGTCCCCATCTCTGCCTCCATCTCTGGTGTCACTGCTTCTCTGGATAAGGTCCCGCATTCCGCTTGTGCACTTCTCCATGGTGGTCCTAGGGTCCTGTTTGTGGACTGTAAGATTAGCCACTCGCCCATTTTTGTTAAAAAACCTTCTACCTTTACAATTGTGACAGTCACAAGTAGTCATGATATTTCTCTTTATTTCTTGACAGTATCATTCCTAACAATTTTTTTAGAATATCTCCCCACCCACCCACTGCCTCTGTTAGTTTCTTTTTTAGACAACACTAGTATACCACCATTGCCTTTATAACGGTTCTTTATGGAATCAGTCATTGAGTCAGTAAATATCAAAAGTTGAAAAATTGCTGAGATGAAGGTTATGTATATTGGAGATGGGGATGTGGACTGAACTTCTGTTTACTCTCTTAAGGTGTCTGGCATAAGGGTGATGTTGTTGCTGTGTACAGTCAAGTTGGTTCCAACACATAGCAACCCTATGTAGGGTTTCAGAGGCTGTGTGGTTACTAATTGGGCTGCTAACCTCAAGGTCAGCAGTTCGAAACTGCTAGCAGTTCCGCAGGAGAAAGATGAGGCTTTGTGCTCCCGTAAAGATTTACAGCCTCGGAAACCCTATACAGGGTTGCTTTGGGTCAGAACCGACTTGACGGCACTTAACAACAACAGTTCTTTACAAGAGCAGAAAGCCTCATCTTTCTCCCTTAGAGAGGCTGCTGGATTGACAGAAGGATAGAAGAACAGAATTAAGGTTGAATCTCTCAGCGATGTCGTGAGATAAAACTTGGTGTTGATTGAATACTATTTCTTATCCTCTGTAAGAAATGACTTGAAAATTAGTATTTCCTAAAATAGTGTATATTTTCTAACCAGAACACTTTTTTTATGTCTTCAAGGATTATATTCAGCTCCTGAATCCCTGGTGTCAAGTCAATGTTGGTTCTTGTCGCTTTATGCTGGGACGCTGTTACCTGGTTACAGGAGAGGGGCAGAAGGTAAACTATGTTTAGATGATTCACTTCAAAGTAAGGAGGACTGTTAGTTCATTCCATCTATTTGAGTTGGAGGGAATGAGAGTCTCAGGATCCTCTAATGAGGATAATGAAGGCTCTGCTAGTATCAGCAGAGGATATGAGGTAAACAGGTGGATGCTCACTTCCATGTGCTTTGTGCCTTGTTGTTGTGATTAGGTGCCATCAAGTCGGTACTGACCATTAGGAGCCTTATGCACAGCAGAACGAAAGAAACACTACTGTTGCCTTGCTTGAGTCCATTGATACTGCCACTTGGCCAGTCCATCTCATTGGGGGATCTTCCTCTTTTTCTCTGACCCTCCACCCTACCAAACATGATATCCTTCTCCAGTGACTGGTCCCTCCTGACAATATGTCCAAAGCATGAGAGACAAAGATTGGCCATCTTGATCTCCAAGGAGCAGTCTGGCTGCACCTCTTCCAAAACAGATCTATTGGTTCTTTTGGCAGTCCATGGCACTTTTAATATTCTTCTCCAACACCATAACTCAAAGGCATCAATTCTTCTACAGTTTTCCTTATTCACTGTCCAGCTTTCACATGCATCTGAGGTTATTGAAATACCATGGTTTGGGTCAGGCACACCTTAGTCCTCAAGCTGACATTTTTGCTCTTCAACACTTTAAAAAGGTCTTGTGCAGCAGATTTACCTAATGCAATATGTCGTTTGATCTCTTGACTGCGGCATTTGTGAGTGTTGATAGTTGATCCAAGAAGAATGAAGTCCTTGACAACTTCAATCTTTTTCCTTCTCCATTGATAAGAATGTTGTTTTAAGGAGCTCTGGTAGCGTAGTGGTTACGAATCAGGCTGCGAACCTTAAAGTCAGCAGTTCAAAACTACCAACTGCTCCACGGGAGAAAGATGAGGCTTTCTGCTCCCATAAAGATTTACAGCCTCGGAAACCCTGTTCAGGGTCTCTATGAGTCAGAACTGACTCCACGGCACATAACAACAATGACAAAGAATGTTGTTTATTGGTCCACTGGTGAGGATTTTTGTTTTCTTTACATTGAGATGTAATCCATACCGAAGGCTGTGCTGTTTGATCTTCATCATTAAATGTTTTAAGTCCTCTTCACTTTCAGCAAGCAAGGTTGTATCATCTGCATATCACAGGTTGTTAATGAGTCTTCCTCCAATCCTGATGCCACGTTTCTCTTTCATATAACCCAGCTTCTCAGATTATTTGTTCAGCATACAGGTTGAATAAGTATGGTGAAAGAATACAACCTTGTTGCACACCTTACATAGTTTTAAAACATTCAGTGTTCCCATGTTCTGTTCCAACAACTAACTGGCTCTTGTTCCGTGTACAGATTCCTCATGAGTACAATTAAGTGTTCCGGAATACTCATACTTCACAATGTTGTCCATAGCTTGTCATGATCCACACAACTGAAAGCCTATGCGTAGTCAGTACAGCACAAGTAAACATCTTTCTGATATTCTCTGCTTTCAGCCAAGATCCATCAGGCCAACTTGAACCTCTGGAAGTTCTGTGTCAATGTATGATTGTAGCCGTTTCTGTATTATTACCTTTAGCAAAACTTTACGCGCATGGGATATCCAGGAGATTGTCCGATGATTTCCGCATTCTGTTGGGTCACCTCTCTTTGGAATGGGCACATATATGGATCTCTTCCAATCAGTCAGCCACATAGTTGTCTTCCAAATTTCTTGGCAGAGATAAACGAGTGCCTCCAGTGCTGTCTTACTTTCTTGAAAGATTTCAATTTTTATTCCATCAATTCCTGGTGCCTTGTTCTTTGCCAATTCCTTCAGTGCACCTTGGACTTCCTCCTTCAGTATCATTGGCTCTTTTATCATATGATATGCTATCTCTTGAAACAGTTGAACATTAACCATTTCCTTTTGGTACCGTGACTCTGCGTATTCCTTCCATCTTCTCTTGATGCTTTCTGCATCATTCAATAATTTGCCCAGAGAATCTTTCAGTAACAAAAGTTGAGGCTTGAATTTGTGCCTTAAGACTCAGTAAACTGTGAAGAAATCCTCCTACCCCTGGGAAAGTGTTTTCAGGGATACATTTTTATAAATTAAATTGATGGAATTCATTACATTGTTTTCATTGTTTCTAATTTTTTTGGTTTATTCTATCTACTTTTTCCCATTATTGCAGTTTATATTTAAAACATTTTTTTCCTGACATTACATTATGTAGATTTTCCAAAGAAAGAATTTTATAATGAACAATCAATTTCTGGATGTGTCAATTGAGTATTATATTTGCTTTATTATGTATTTGTCTTACCTGTCATCAGTTCACTAGAATCCTGGTGTGACACTGCAGAATAATGCGCTGGACTGCAAAGGTTGGCGCTTCAAGTTCACCAGCCTTCCCTCGGAAACACTATATACAAGATCACTATAAGTCAGAACTAACTCAGTGATACTTACCAACAACATCATCATCATCATTGGTTCATATTTTTAAGAATTTATTTTTCAGTTATCATTATTTCAGTTTTTTAAAAGGAGATAAGTTAGATATAGTACCATCAAGTAATATCAGAAGTACTTAGTAAGAAATTTTAAAGAGTGATATTTAGAAACCTTAAACCAATTGAGGAACTCTGGTATGGTGCTGTGGGCTAATGCGTCAGACTGCAAAGTTGTTTGAACTTCAAGGTCAGTGGTTCAAGTTCACCAGCTGCTCCTTGGAAACCCTATACAGGGTCGCTATGGGTCGGAATCGACTTGACAACACTTAAAAAAAAACAACAAACCAATTGTGAGAATGATTAAGAAGACAGCAGATGAAATCAAGGAAAACATAGAGAAAAATTGAGAAGAATACAAGAACAAATTGACCAAATAAATGAAAAATTAAAAACCATTCAGAAACAGCAAATAGAAATCCTAAAATACTAAGATTTCAAAAACCCATAATATATTGCAAGGACAAGAGTTATAATTGGGGCAGTGGAAAGTGAATTTGTGAGCTTAAGACAAATTCCTCAATATTCATCTGCTAGAGCAGGGATGGGAAACGTCTGGCCCATGAGCCATATAAGGCCTGTGAAATCATGTAGTATAGTCCTGCAACTGCAATTCTAGTCCTCACATTAGGGATGAGCTAAGTAAACGTTTAACGAAATATAGCAGGCTAATTTTTTTAAGTTGATAATTTTGTGTGGACTGCAAATGATGTTATAAATATACAAATGGCTCTTGGCAGATAAAAGGTTTCCTATGCTAGAGGCCCAATCAGAAAAAAAAAAATAGTCTAGATTTATGTGGGAAATTATCAGGAGAAATAACTTAATGTGTGATAGGGATTGCAGAACAAGAAGAAACCAAAAAGGGGGGCGCGGGCGGGAATCAGGAAATCATCAAAGTTGTCAGAAGAAAACTTCCTCATCATGAAAACAAGAAGATAACATGTTCAAGAAAAATGCTAAACGGCATAGTACCAAAAGAAAATCACCAAGACACACAATAATTAAACTTTCCAAAACCAAAGATAAGGAAAGACTCAGGAGAGAAGCTTGGGAAAAATAAAAACTTTACCTACAGCAGAGAACTAATAAAACTAAGCTCTGATTTCTCAACAAAAACCATGCAGGTGAGAAGATAGTGAGATAACCTAGCCCATGTCCTAACTTTAACTCCTGTTTTCCCCGCTCCCTAAAAATGAAAAAGTATAGAAAAATATTACATAAAATCAGTCCGAATATATATATACATGGCAAAAATTGGGGCTATAAGTGTTGCTACGACCAGTCTTCTGTCAGTTTGTCGGACTGTGTTGACTTGCATGTTGCTGTGATGCTGAAAGCTTTGCCACTGGTGTTTTAAATACCAGCAGGATCACCCATGTTGGATAGGTTTTAGTGGACAAGGCAGACTAATAGAAGAGGTTGGCTACTTCTAAATGTTTATCCACTGAAAACTTATAAATAGCAGGAGAGCATTATCAGATATACTACCAGAAGATGAACCCTTCAGCTTGGAAGGCACTCAAAATATGACTGTGAAGAGCTGCCTCCTTAAAGTAAGAGTTGACCATAATAATGAGAATTGGGATAAAGCTGTCAAGATTTTCATTTGCTGATGAGGCATAACTCAAAATGAGAAACAGCTACACACATACATTAATAATCAGAGCATAGAGCATACAAAGTCTGAATCTAGAAAAGTCAGAAATTGTCAAAACATGAAATAGAACACCTAAAGATCCCTATACTAAGCATTAGGGAACTGAAATGGACGGGTCTGGCCATTTTGAATGTGACAATCATGGCTTACTATGCCAAGAATGGCAAATTCGAGAAGAATGGCATCACATTCATCATCAAAAAAACTTCTCAAGATCTATCTTGAAGTACTGTGGTGTCTGCGGTAGGATAATACCCATACACCTACAACGAAGACCACTTAATACTACTACTGTGAAATGTATGCACCAGCTGCTAAAGCCAGTGATAATGAAATTGAAGAACTCTACCACCTTCAGTCTGAAATTTATCAAACATAATCCAGATGTATTGGTAATTACTGGTGATTGGAATGTGAAGGTTGGAAACAGAGGAAGCATCAGTAGTTAGAGTATCTGGCCTTGGTGATAAAAATGAGACGAGATTGCATGTTAAAATTTTGCAACATCAATGATTTATTCATTACATGTACCTTTTTTCAACAACATAGAAGTTGATTCTACATATGGACCTCACCAGATGGAATACACAGGTATAAGATTAACTACATCTGTGTGAGTCCTGGTGTGGCGCTGTAGGTTAATGCGCCAGACTGCAAAGCAGTTTGAACTGCAAGGTTGGTGGTTCAAGCTCACCAGCTGCTCCTTGGAAACCCTATCCAGGGTCGCTATGGGTTGGAACCAGCTCGATGGCACTTACCAACAGCAACAACATCTGTGTGAAGAGATGGTGGAAAAGCTCAGTAATCATCAGCCAAAACAAGGCCATGGACAGACCATA